GGCTGGAATCAGCCCGTGGATCACAGAGGACAACTCCATGCCGGGCTGTGCACATCCCTAATTTGGTAAAGTCACCCAAAATGTGACTTTGGTGGGGTAAGATTTAAACAAGGGAATATTCCAAAGGGGAATGCAAAGGAAATCTCTGGCTTGTGAAGGGGCAGGGCTGAGGCATCCCTGTCCTTCCAGGCACAGGCAGGGAAAGACAGGGAAACCCAGGAGCGCTTCTTTTGCAGCAGCCCCTGAGGCAGACACAAGGAGCAAGGGAAGGGAGCTGGGCAGAGGTTTTGGCAGCCAGGCTCTGCGGATTTTCTCTCTGTAGGAAGTCCCACAGGGAACCACACAAAGCCAGAAGGGCATCCTGGCTTTTGGGGCCAAGGAGGGACGTGCCAGCACTGCTGGAAGGGACACAGGGGACACACGGGGCAGGGGATGCTCAGGGCTGCTCACGCTTTGAGTTGGGAAAGGTGACAGATGAAGCAGAGCGTGACTGAGGGGAGATCTTCACCGAGGGATAGGCGAGCCTCTCTCTTATGCCTCCAGCTGGGAAAAAAGCCTGGAAAATCCGTATTTACTTGTGTGCGTGCCGGAGTCCATCGGCAGAGGGCAGCGACACTCGCAGGCACAGGCTCATCCCCGGCAGCCTTCAATCCATCCCGCTCCTGCTGCTGGCACAGCAAGGACACCTTCCCCACCCCGCCCCAGCCAAATCCTTGAAAATCAGACTCCGAGGGATGCTGCAGACCCGACAGCTGGCCGCTGTTTTGGTTTGGTGGTATTTTTTCCCTCCCTTCTTCCCAAATCCCACGTGATATTTTTCTCCGCGCTTCAAAGCTTGGGGTTTGTTTGTTTTTTCAAGCCCGAGAGCTCCAATTCCAGCATCTGCGTGAAAGCCGACAGGAAATAAGCCGTGTGCTCCGAAGTAGTTGAGAGAACATGCAAGGGCAATATTTATCTTCCCTTGCCGCGGCTCGGAGCGCAGACACGCAAGGCTCCTGCTCCTGCCACTCACCGCATCCCGGCAGGAAAGGACGGGCTGGAGCCGCAGAAGCAGAGCGTTCCGGGGTGGGCTGGCGGAGCTGCGCTTCAGCCAGGGCAAAACCGCGATGAGGAGAGAGGTTTGGAACAAGGCAGCCAGGATGGGATGAGGGGAGAGGCAGGGGATGATCAGCATGGGGAAATTTGGGAGAGGCGCGATGGAGAAAGGCGCGTCTCCAAAGGAGCCGGCAGCTCCGGGGTGAAAGGCACAGAGATCCCGCTTTGAAAATCCAGTTGCTCTGTCAAATTTTATATTCATCCTTGTACAGAGTGGGCTTTCAGACCGGAACGCAATTCAGTCCCAAAAAGAGGGAAAGCTGTTTTGGCAGGGGAGCCACCCGAGGGAAGGCTGCCCATCACAGCTGACTCATACCCCACACGGCAGTGGGTTCCTCTCTGGCTTTGAGAGTCATTTTGGTAAAAGGTTTGGGATTTCCAGGCTGGATTTCTGGCAGAAGTGCTAAGATTTAAGCCACATTTAGGAGGTTGAAAATGTCAAACCTGTCATTAAATGGGCAGAAGATTTTGCAAGTGTTGAACAGCCTCCTAAAGTCTCCTAAATGTGATGGGAAAAGGCTCTGAGAAAGGTCCCTGTGGAGGAGTTCTGTGGGCTGGGAGCACTGGGCACTTGATGGATCTGGGCAACTCAACTGGTCTTTTATCCAGCAGCCTCCCAAATAAATCTCCTCCTTATCCATGGTAGAGATTCTCATTCCCGTTGTCTCTGTGGATGGACACAGAAGTGAATAATCTCCTTTCACACTGGACTCGGTCACCGGCCTCACACTGAGTTATTTCAGTTAATTTTCATAGGCTTTTGGCCATTGTGTGTTGCATGGAGTCAAACTCACAGGAAGGAATTATCTGTGATAATTAGGATATGAGAAATCAATCCTGCGATAAAGGATATGGCTACAATGGCTCTGAGGTGCTGCTTGAAGGGAAAGAAGTAATTAAGTCAAGCTCCAAGTTTAACAGGATTGAGGAAATCCAAACAGGAGAATTCAGACTCTTACAACAGTAAAACTGAGGTGTTGAAGGGCTGGACCCTCTCTCAGTCCTCCACAGACTCAGAGATGGTCCAGCCAGCAACAGTCAACAACAGCCTCTGCATGCTCTGAAAATACAAAAAGAGGAAAATTAATTATTGCTTACTGATTACTCCAGCAAGGAATCTTCTCCAGTCGTGCTAAGCATGCACAAAGAGTATTTTCAGGGAGAACAGGCAGGAAATGGGATGATCTGGGGATGAAATGAGGAGCCAGTTTGGTGTCCTGTGCTCGCAGGAGGAGCAGGGCAGCACAGGCACCCCAGAACCACCTTCACTCCCAACCCACTGCCTGGACAAGCACTAACACAGTTCTTACTCAGTTGATTTATCTGCCTGAAAGCAGTTCCTGGCTCTGCCCCTGGATAGCCAGGAATTCTTGGTGACAGAATTGTGTCACGCCCCTTTTGGTTTCCTCAGGCTTCACCCAAAGCCACTTCTAATCAGAGAAAAGGCTCCCAGTTCATCTATTACACTTCAGGTTAGGATTTATTCTATCTGGCATCAAAGACAAAAAAATTCTGTCTGTAAACCACAGAATCACTCTTTTGCAACAAAATTCTCATTGAAACATTTATTTAGACTCAGTCTTAGACCTGGTTCTCAAGCAGAAAGTTCCAACCTTTTTCACCTTGCTACAGAAACCTTGACTTTGAGCACAGCGTGGTGCTTTCAGACTGGATTAGTGGATAAAGGATGTGCTTTCAGGAGGGATAAAAACATCAGTATAAGCAGAAAGGCCACCAAAGAACTCATCATGCCTATGCCAACGGCCTGGCCCGGGCTAGAACTCAAGGCAGAGCTTTCCTAAGGGACAGAGCATTTCCTCTGTTTTCCACACATCCCTTCCTCCCACAGACAATGCCGGGCACGGCAGGAAAAGGAAGCACATATGGCTCGCACTCCATGACGGATCTCTGCAAGGAAAGGACACAGAGAGGCTGTGGGGCTGTCAAGGACCCTCTCACAGCAGGAGCCTGCAACAGAAGCAGGGTTGTGTCTCTTTACAATATATGACATTATGCAGCCTCAGTCAGTGCTCTCCGCCCGCTGGCTCCCGCATTTCACTGGGACTCCAACAAACGCGGTCGATGGCTCGCGATATTCCACAGGGAAATAAAACAGGATAAACTACCAGCGTTTGGAATGTTTGTGGAGCAGCAGTTCGTCTTAGCAAGGTGTATAATGAGATTTCCAATAAACCATCACCCAGAGGAGCCAGACGTCTTCTCTTCTGTGATACCAGCACAAGTGGTCGCACAACTCATGTGAGAGCCCACATTTGGGCATCTGCACATCCCATAAAGATCAACTCGAGAGAAAATGCAATTTTGCCTTTAAAAGCATCAATGTTGGGTCTTTTGTTTATCTGCGGCGCAGCAACGTGGCACTTGTGAAAATAAAACGCACGGTCCATCTTCCAAGATTACCATCACATAAAAACCAAGCCTGGATTCATTCACCGCCTGCCTGGGGCTGCATTTAAAAATATTATTCCTGGCTTGTCCCAGTTAAAGATCTTCACCCGTGTCATTTATCCAGCTGATGCGCAGTCTGGCTACTGGGCTACCACAGCCAAGCAGCCGAGTTCCATGGAAAAACACCACGAAAAACAGAAATCGTGTCCGCCCCTTGGCTGGCCGATGCCGTCCGTGCAAACCTGCAGCCCACGGCCCTGCTAGAAAATGTGCATTGCTACGTCGCTGTCAGCCAGAATCACAATTTAGAATGGAGAGCGGGAATGCGGGGATGGGGGGGGGCGAAAAAAATGATAATTTTGAGAGGTCTTTGGTGCCTCTTTTGTTTCCACGCTGTATTTAAAGAGAATCGGGAGTCAGGTGCCAAACTGGCTGCGGGTTGGGCTGGTGGCGGCTCAGGCAGGATGCCAAAAGCTTTATCGGGGTTTTGGCATCACCAGCCAGCAGCAGCTCGGGCTGCATCCCCGAGGCTCTTTGTCATCCTAAAAACAACGCCGGAGGAAGGAGAGCGTGGCAGCCATTCCCTCTTCTACTCCACAGCCTCCTCGTGCCTGGAATGAGGCGTTTGGACCGAAAAGGCAGCGAAAACCGCCCACACTGTAAGCGGCAAAGAGCACGGGCGGCACTCGGAGGCGGGGGGCAGACTCAAAAAGCACCGGCCGTGAAGGACAGGGGGAGCGAAGGTGCTCACACGCGATTTGGGATGTCAGGATGCACCCCGAGGCTCCTCCCCAGCCTGCGGGGAGGACAGGAGCCCCAAGGCCAAGCCCGTCAGCTCCGCGGGGTCAGCGGGAGCGGGGCGAGGCACAGCTGTGCCCTCAGCGGGGTCAGCGCCCCTCAGAGCCGCGGGGACGGCGCGGCCGCACCCGCGGGCCGCCACACACACAAAAGGCGCCTCTTCGCACCCCTCTCCTATTTAATGACTCCTCGACCAATCAACGCCAGGGGCGGGGCTAAACTGGGAGGATTGACAAGCCCCCCGAGACGCCGCTCCGGAGAGCGCGGAAAGGGGGCGGGGAGACGCGTCCGCAGCCAATCGCCGTGGGCGGGCTGGCGGCTCGGCCAATCAGCGTCGCGGGGGGCGTGTCCCGGCGCGGGGTCAGGCCGGGAGCGAAGGCGCCCGGCGCTCCCTGTTCCTCCCGCTCCGCTCGCGGCCGAGCCTCCTCACCGCGGGATCCCTCCGCCTGCGCGCAGCGGCCGGCGGGCTGTGCGCGCCGCTCCGTGCCCCTCCGCCCGGGAGGGATTATTTCCCGCGGTCGCGGCGGCGGGGCCGGGGGATGGAGGCACCGGGCGCCCGCCGGAGGGACGGAGGAGCCGCCCCGTGAGGGAGGAACGGGAGCGCAGCGGCCTCCTCGGGGCCGCCGGCGGGCGGGGACCCCGCGGCCAGGCCGCGCCTCAGCGCTCGGGCCTGCGCCGCCCTCAGCGGGGCTCGGCCCGGCCCTGCCCGCCCGGGGTTGCCCCAGGCCGGGTGTGCGAGCCCCGGCCGGGGCGTGCTCGGCGCGGGGAACCATGGTGGAGAAGCGGTGCCCGCGGCTGCAGCGGGACGGCGTGTACCGCTGGTTCTCCGAGCTGCCCTCCCCGCAGCGCGTGGAGTTCCTCTGCGGCCTCCTGGACCTGTGCATCCCGCTGGAGCTGCGCTTCCTGGGCGCCTGCCTGGAGGACCTGGCCCGCAAGGATTATCACTCCCTGCGCGACTCCGAGATCAAGGCGAACAACCCCGCCGACCTGGGCAGCCTCACCAACCTGACGGACGAGGTGGTGCGCAGCAAACTCCTGGTGTCCCTCGCCCTGCTGGGCTCTGCCCACCGGGAGGCCGCCGGGGTCCTGTTCCGCACCCTCACCCACATCGACTCGGTCATCAACAACTACGGGCTGCAGCTCAACGAGGGCCGCACGGGGGATGAGTTCCTGTTGCTCTTCACCATGGCATCCAACCACCCGGCCTTCAGCTTCCACCAGAAGCAGGTGCTGAGGCAGGAGCTCACCCAGATCCAGAGTCTCATGGCCAGCACCAGCAAGAATCCCAGCACCTCTGCCCTCAACACCATGGCAACCTATCCTGGCTGCCATAAGGTGGGCATGCTGCTTTTTGCGCGCCGCGATGGCACCGGGCTGTGTGTTCGGCTCTCATTTTAAAGCGTGCTTTAGCACAGTGGTAAATGGCAGCTACAGAGGCAAGGCGGTGGGTTGATGGTGGGGATGGTCAGCTGAGGGCACGGGGAGAGGATGGATGGATGGATGGAGTTTTTACGAGCTTGTGACGTTTAAATGAGAAGGGGTTCACGAGCAGATCAACAGCAGCAATATAAGCCTCCCCTGATTGCTTCTCAGAGCATCTGCTGGAGGAACAGCCCTGCCAGCTGCATGGAAAACCGGTGATTTAGGAAGGGGAATAAAAGTATCTCTAGATAAAAGCATCTGTTTGCAAGTTCCCCCTGGAAAAAGTTGGAAAGGAGGAGTAGCTGTCCAGTGTCCAAAGCATCTTGGTGAGACTGGGTTTTGTTTAGACGGATGTGCTGGCAAACATTTAGAGTTGCTGGTGTTAAGCTGAAAGAAATGTTGTCGTTTTCTGTCACTCTGCATCCCCTCGGGTATTGATCCTGGTGTCGGGGTTCACCGTCATTAACTTGCTCTTCTTTCATTCAGTTGCCAGCAGTTAGGCCAGACAGGAACGTTTTAAGATGTACTGCAAGTCATTAGATATGTGACTGCTTAATTGCTCTCAGCCCGCTACAAATTTGGGAGTCAAAGTGTCTTTCTGTCTGATTTTAACCCGCTTGAAAGTTCAATTTAAGCACCAGCTTAGAGGATGCTTGTGAGAAGCTAACAGGCTGCAGCCTTTGAGGATCAGTGGATGATGTGTTACCCTGCTCTTGGGAAAGGTGGGGAATACCTAAAGCTGTGAAAACCGCTGTATTAAAGTAATATCCTCAATAAAGCTGTTTTTCAGGGCTCAGTAGAGATTTCAGAGTGTTGAATTCCAGACTGAAACAGAAATCTGTGCTCAGTTTTCCCCTGAATACAAATTCCCTTCCAATTTCATGTTTCTTTAAACACCATTGCTTTGTAGAATTGAGATGTTAGTATTTTTTTCCTTATTCTTCCCCTTCTATCTTGTTCCTAGTCTCCCGTAGTAAGGGGGAAAGAGCAAGGCATGGGAGAACTTCTTCATTCAGCAGAAACCTCCATGTGGATAAAATGTAGCTAGAAAGAACATTTCACACAGGATGTAGAAAGGTGTAATTCATACCAGAAAAACGCTTCTTTTCAGGTACTTAACTACTTGCAGCTTCTCATATTCAAATGCTGCAGCGACCCTGAGTTGGAAAGGAAACACTGTAAATCATATCCAAGTTTCCCCCAAAATAAGATAAGTAAAAGAAAAAAAAAAAAAGTTAAAATCAGGCAGGCAGGAAGGTTTTTGAGAGTCTTCTTTCTGAGCTGCAGGATTTATGGAGCTGAAAAACTCCGGCACTATTTATGTCAATCTAAGATGGACGGAGAATCCATCCTGCCATTTTTCCTGCCAGGAATAAGGCAGCCAGGATCGTTTGGTTTTTCTTTTCTTCTCAGCTCACTGAAGGGTTGTCTCTTTGAAAATCACATTTTTATAGATTCTGTGCTGAAGAATCTTGGTTGCTAAGTACAGAGTAGGGAGAGGGAACACAAAGGTGACTTTGCCTTCACAGTCTCTGAATGTGCATTTTGTTTGAAGTGATGCAGATTTCCTTAAGATTATTTTTTTGTTGTTCCTAACTGGGTAATTCTGTTACTTTTAGAGTAAACAGTTGGCTTAAACCAGGAGTTGGATGAAACAAGTGGAAAAAACAATCTCTTTCTCCATTCAGCCCTGTTTAAATATGCACAAATAAATTCCAACGCCGAGTCCTTGAGGTGTTGCCAAGTGATGTTGTGACAATCCTTGTGCTGTAGCATCACCTAGAAAACAACAATGTGGATGTGGAGAGAAAGTGAGTGCCCTGGGCTGCTGCTCCTCCTGCTTGGAATTGGAGGAGAATTCCCTCCCTGGTGCCAGCACTTTCCCCTGGCTCCTGTTGCTTTATTCCAGGGTTAGCCATGCTGAGCTGGTGCTGGAAGCTGGGTGTTAAATGGGGAATTCTGCTCCTCTCTGAGCTCTTCCTCAAGGAACTGGAGTAATGCTCACCATTTGTGGTCCTGAAAAACTTCGGGAAGCTGGGATGCCGTGGATGTGAGATGGGTTGCAAACAGGGAGCTGGTTGTGAACTGGCTGTTATCCTCAGCTTCCCCCCTAGGAGAGTGGGAATAGGGTGTAACTCTTGTGTAACTGTACCTGCCCTACTGTTACAATTTCTGATTTCTGGTTACCTTGTTTAGTCAGGGAGATGCAACAGTAATGAGCAGTGCTCTTTGTTCTCCTTGCAGAAACAAATTGGAATGTGCTGCTTCTGCTTAGCCAGCCCTATTAAAATATGCCCCAACCTGATATTAGCTATAACTTTTTGCAGAGGATTTGACCTTGCAATCCTTTTTCCATCTTTTCTTTCACATTTAATAGTGAAATATCTCAAAATCAAATTGTGTTCAGCAGTGAAGAGACTGAACAGCTGATACAAATTTACTGTAAATATTTCATGATTCCTCAAGTTGCTTTGGGCTAGGTGAACACAGCTGAAGGTGGTCAGTGATGCAAACTGCTTTTTGCTGTTTCCTTTTACTGCCTGCAGTTGCTGACTATGAAGAGGCTTAAAACAGCTGCCCATCTATTTTTTGTGCTTTTTCAGATGCTTCTTGTCTTACCTGAACCTTAACTTAGCAGGAAAAGGTGGCTGTGGCTAGCTTTAAGTAGGTCAGTAATTATGAGATTGATGGTTTCTACCTGATGGTATAAAATGAACATTTTATGAACAGGAGGGAAAATGCTGCCCTCTCTACATTACCTTGGAGTCTGTGAGGATGGAATCACAGAATATCCCGAGCTGGAAGGGACCCACAGAGATGACAGAGTCCAGCTCCTGGTGCTGCTCAGGACATCCCAGCAACCCCTCCTGGCCCTGCTCAGCTCCTGCCAGGAGGGGACAGCCAGGGCGTCGGGCTCTGCTCCAGGGAACAGGGACAGGAGCAGAGGGAACGGCCTCAGGGCAGGCTCAGGGTGGGCAGCAGCAGGAATTTCCCCATGGAAAGGGGCTCAGGGATTGGAAGTGCCCAGGGAGGGTTGGAGTGCCCATCCCTGGAGGTGTCCCAGGAATCCCTGAGGTGGCACTCAGAGCTCTGGGCTGGGGACAAGGTGGGGATGGGGCACAGGTTGGAGTTGATCACCTTGGAGGTCTTTTCCAAGCTCAGTGATTCTGTGATTCTCTGCTGGGGTGGATGGCAGATGGAAATACAAATCTGAACTTGGATTTTGTGATCTACATGGATGCTGGGCATCTTAATATGAATTTCTGCATAGACTTTCCCTCTCAAGAACTCTACTGTCAGTAACTCTAAGGACAGAACTTCAGAGCTAGGGAGGTTATTCATGAATCTGCCACTGTTCCCTGGAGTTGTTTGATCTCCTCATTGAGATCGTGCTGTAAAATCAGGGAAATAAGAGAATGCTTTGGGTCCTCAGTACCTGCTCTGCTCTGACAAGAGCAGAGTGCAGTCAGGGTGATGAGCTGTAGGTTCAGATCAGATATTAAGGAGGAATTCTTGGCTCTGAGGGTGGGCAGGCCCTGGCACAGGCTGCCCAGAGAAGCTGTGGCTGCCCCTGGGTCCCTGGAAGTGCCCAAGGCTGGGTTGGGCAGAGCTTGGAGCAACCATGGCAGGGGCTGGAATGAGATGAGCTTTAAGGTCCCTTCCACCCAAACCATCCCATGATTCTGTGATGATGATTCTGATCTGGTGGTGGGTTCAGCTGCAGAGCCAGGGTCAGAAATAATCACCCTGAGTGCAGTTTGTTTGCAGCTGAAGTGAAATAAGGGGCAGTGACCCCATAGTTATGTGGTTGTTTCGGGCTGGTATCTTGTGAATGGGAAGGAGGGTTCTTGCCCAGTCACCTTCCAAATACTGCACCAATGGCTATTTCAAGTTTATAGCATAAGGTGCTATTTTTCACTCATGCTAATTCCATAGGCTCCTCTAAAACTTCCAAAGAACTCAAGGCTGTATATTGGGAGCTATGGAGTTGCTCTGAGGCATCCATTTCAAACACTTTCACCTGTCTGCACTGTTTGCTTCAGGAGCATGAATGGACATAACTCCATTGAGAAATATTCTGATATTTTTATTTCACCAATGGAGTGATGAGTTATAAAAAACCATCACTTGCTGGGTTGAAACTGAGTCGTCAAGCCCTCACAGAGACAGCAGTGCAGCTATTAAGTGATCTATGTCAGCTGCCTTTATGGCGGGTTTTTTTGAGCCTTGTAGGGATAGAATAAATCTTGACAAACTTAATTTTTAGCCTCTTTGAGGGTGTTTCATAGATTCAGCAGATGACCATGTTGAGAGTAGTTGCTGGCTGGGATTAGAGTGTTTACTCACTGGTATCAAGAGTTGCTATCTCAGAATGATCTCACTTTCCAAACCACATGAATCCAACCTCAGGAGCTGTAGGGACAGGTCTTGTAGCTTCCAGCTGGTGACACTGCCAAGCCCTGCATGTCTTTTGCATGTCCTTTGAGAATTTTTGGGTACTCCAGGCAACATGGATTGTACACACATCTTGATATTCCACTTTAAAAATGTGAGGCTTCCCCTTCTGGCTCTTTTCTGACTCATGGTTTTATTTGAAATGTGATAAAATGGTTCAGTCTCAAACCTGCAATATTTTCAGAAATGAGCTTTAGGAATCCTTGCAAGACAATGGTCTTGGGCAGTAACAATATCAATTAGCACCAAATTCACTTTGCCTAATGGTATGTTGCATGATGCATTCGAATTTAGGAACCTAAAGAGTTTTCTTGGGAGATGCACTGTGCACCCAAACATCAGGAACAGAGCAGCCAAAAAAATGTGTTGAGCTAATAATGATGATGTTTTTTCCATGAACTGTTTTCCCATTTATTTTTGCACAGGCTGAATGAAGTTTTTGTTTTGAGAGTGCATTC